TTGATTGACAGATGACCGTTGATCTGTGATTGGCCGAATTTAGGTGTTCAGGCTGACGTAGAACTAACTGGCCTGCAGAAGATGATGAAAATGCGTCAACATCTTGCAGTAAATGCGACTCACTCTGACTGAGGCGTCCACGTCTCATACCAGCTCTGTTGTTGTACCAAGTTGAAAACCAAGACCTGGAAGCCCAGGCATGTGAGGATCTGGGTGAGAACTGAGCAGAGCAGAGGTCCTGAGATGAGACTGGATGGAGGACGTTGCCTCACCAGTTCCTTCCACGCCGGGTTCAGACTCACTACAGGCAGACAAAACCAACAAACCCGTCAGCAACCGGTCTTCCCCCGATAAAAACCCTCTTAGCCGCCGCCTCCATGTGGCTCACTTGTGAAGGCAATGATGAGAATGATGACGAGGTCGATGAAGAGAAACTGGAAGTCCCCCAAGTTGCTGAGGATCTGGATTAACAGAAGATTAAATCTGCATTAAAGAAGAAGAAGCTGCAGGAAAACCGTTAGTAAAGCTTAGCAGTCAAAAATAAGCAGCAATATTTATGGTTAATTAGCGTGTTTTAAGAGAAAAATAAGGTTATTTTTTTCCAAGTCATTTTTTCTCTACGTTCATTGATTTATACAAATTTTTTAAAATAAATATTTAGCTCTAAACTAAATATTTAGTTTTTTAAATAAATATTTAGCTTCAAGTAAAATATTTATTTAAGAAATTTAACATTTAGCTAGCTTGGTGCTAGCTAAATATTTATAAATATTATTTAGATTGTTAAGTAAATATTTAGTTTGAAAAATATTTACTTAAAAATATTTAATTTGTTAACTAAATTTTTAGCTCCAAACTAAATATTTAGTTTATTAAATAAGTATTTAGCTTCAAGTAAAATATTTATTTAAGAAATTTAACATTTAGCTAGCTTGGTGCTAGCTAAATATTTATAAATATTACTTAGATTGTTAAGTAAATATTTAGTTTGAAAAATAAATATTTAGTTTTTAAATAAATGTTTAGCTCCAAACTAAATATTTATTTT